TCCCCCACAAAAAATGCTGGGTGGGGGGGGCGAGGTTATGAAATGCCTTAAGTGTGGCTTGCGCACCATAAACTATAACCCCTGCCCAGGGCTGGCTTTCGCGTGAGGCAGGAGTGAGGCAGTTCGCTCAGGCAGCAGAGGCTGGGAAGCGGCAGCGATGTGTGAGAGGAGAAAGCCATGGGCGGCGTTCTGTGCTGCCCTGCATCCCCTGAGCCCCTCGGCCCCCCAGCACTGAAGTAAGCTGTCGGTCCTGGCAGCCTTTCTGAACGGCATGGAAAGGCCTGCCATTGGGAATCCTGAAGCAGTGGGATTCCTTGGGCTGGCCCGGAAAGCATAGCCTCGGCTCTTGGCGTGCAGTCGTTTTTCACTCCCTGAACCATCCCAGAAAACTGCAGAAAACTGGCCGTGGTTGAGAGTGCGCAGGCCCTTTGTATTTATTAGGCATATGTAGCCTGAAGTGCCTGATCCTGCCTAATCTTGAAAGCTAAGCAGAATCGGGCCTGGGCAGAAGTGGGATGGGTGACTTGACTGTATGATTCTATGATTATTGCTGTCAACTGCCTAGAGAGCTTTGGCCATGGGCAGTATAAAAATGTAATAATAATAATGATAATGATAATAATAAATATTTCAGTCGATCCCAGCTTAGTTTGTGAATGCCATTACAATGTTCATAGTATAAGATCCAGCTAATTCTGACCCTAAAAGGTAAAGGTTTCCCCTTGACGTTAAAGTCCAGTCAGGCCTGACTCTTGGGGGCGGTGCTCATCTCCGTTTCCTGGCCGAGGGAGCCGGCGTTTGTCCGCAGACAGTCTCCACGGTCATGTGGCCGGCATGACTAAACACCGAAGTGCACGGAACGCTGCTACCTGCCCACCGAAGTGGTACCTTTTCCTCTACTTGCGTTTGCATGCTTTCGAACTGCAAGGTTGGCAGGAGCTGGGACGGAGCAACGGGAACTCACCCCGTTGTGCAGATTCGAACCGGCGACCTTTCGATCTACCAGCCCAGCAGCCCAGCGGTTTAAACCACTGTGCCACCAGCAGTCCTCACAAATAAATGGACTCACTCAAAATCAACCCTGTTTTTCTCTCCAAAATGCATCTCTGGGCTTGTGCTGCCACAACAAAAATAACCGCTTGTCCTTGGTGTGGTCAGGTTTTATTTTCATCCGGTCTTCGGTTTCTGTCTCCTAAGCGAGTCCATCTGTGTGCTGCTAGGTAAGGTGCACGTGGAACCAGGGAATAGAAGGTGATGCTGTGGTACTGCACCGAGACCAGGAATGCTTGGGTACCAGTTCCGGAATAGCCATGAAGCTCCTTGGGTAACCTCAGGCCAGGCAGGAGCCTAACTAAGAGGGGTTTTTAAGGATCAGCTGGGAGGGATGGGGCTCTGTCCACTGCCTTGGACTGCTTGGAGGAAAGTAGAGAAGTTTTAAAAATAGATGGGTAATTGCTGTTCCTTTGGGATTTTTAATTAAGATCTCATTATGAGCTGAGTTGGAAAATACTGAACTGTCAGTGCCATTAAGGGCTTCTCTGTGTGAGGCTTTTAAGCCCCCCCCCCCCAACCTAGGCTTCTGTTTCCAGGTTGTTGGCAGGTTCAAATTGTGTGAGGTTTTCTCTGGACTTTTTCTTTGCCTTTCTGTGTGTTCCATTGCACAGCCACAGGGTGGCACTGTGCCATAGCAGAATTGCAAGAATGCGTGTGTTTCTCTTTCGATTTCATCCAGCCCATTCCCAGAAAATAGCAAGCTTTCCTCGAAAGTGCTTGGAACTCTCCAGGGAGGCCTTTGAGGAGGACATCATCATGTTAAGCATCTGCAACAGCTGTGAGGGAGGAGTCAAAAGCATGCAATAATTGTCTTGTGCAGAGAAACGCAGAGGCTCTGCTGAGTTACGAAAACAACCATCCTCAATGTGTAGCTATTTATTAAGCTGAAACAGGGAGTAAAGTCTGAGGTCTGGATCTGTTCCACATTCTACACCAGTGTTTTTTTTTAAACTATAGTCCATTAAGAACAGTGCATAATTTTCCAACAAAACATCTGACATACTGACACAATCATCTTTCTTATTTTAATGGCTCTTATACACATCTTAACTTAACATCTTAACTCTTTCAGCTGCATTTTGCACTTTCACTCAATGTCACTTTTTTGCATTCTCAAACAGGAGCTTTAGAAACTGCTCCAAGCAGCAAAGACAGTAGAAGCACCTGACTCTATAGCGAAATCAAGGAAATGCATACCTGACAGGTGAACTGGATGTACTGCATTGGAAGGGCTGCATCAGACCAGGATATAACTATGATTAATAAAAATGGAACGTGCAGCAAAGGCATTGGAATGGAGTGCAGGTGTGCAGGGTTCCAGCCAGCCACGGCCCTTTCTGGATACTCCATTCCTCCTCCCCTGCTTGCACCTTTCCAGGTTCCTTTCACACCCAAGCCGTAGTCAACCTTGTGTGTCCATGGCACAGTCAGGTGCCTCCAGGAAGCCCATACATGGGATGTAAAAAAGCCACAGGTGGGATTAGGAAGGCAGTGGTCCCTCCAGAAACTAGCAGCCTTGTTGTCTCTGGAAATGGAAGTCCCTCCTGACCTCCCTGGCTATTTCGCCATTGATCAGCCTATCGGTGGAAGACAGGGCACACTTTCTTCCCTGCCTTATAGCTTGGATTGGGGAGTGGGCAGCCGGCAAGCTGGCTAAAGCCCTGAGCAAGAGCGCCCCCACTCCGAGGTGCAAGCAGCCAGGTAGCAGGTCCCAGCTCACTTCCAGGTCTCTCCTTATGCCCCCCCCTTTCCACCAAAAGCATCACTTTTCATCTGGGCTGAGAACACAGTAGGCAGTTGCATAGGCTTGGCTGACTAGTCTGACCATAATATTTCTCAAATCCTACCGACGGCATTTCCTAGGCCATCTTCAGGGATGGAAACATGTTGCTTCTTCGCTTCAGCGCTGTCTTCCCCGCTCGCCACCCCGTCTGTGCTTTTCCAATGAGCAACTCATGGGTGATTTTGAAGGGCGGTCCAGAAGGTTGCAAGTGCCAAGCCCAGTGAGGGCAGGCCTCTTGTCTAATGTGCCGCTCGGAGGCTTGGGGAAGAGATGACGGCATCCCTTTTGCACACAACACCGAAAAGCCCCTCGGCCCCTTCCTTTGCAGTGCATCCCTGCGACCTCTCATGTTGCAGCTTCAAAGCTCAGCTTCCAGATCGGCCTGCCGGTACGCATTGCGCACAACAGCTGCTATTTCTCCCCGTCATTGCAAGTGGGAGTGGATGAGACACGTTTTCAAGGCTGATCTGGGGGCTTGTGGAAGGACTCCGACCAGCCAGCGATGCCGCTCTCTGCAGCCGACCTGCGCGAACGGGTCGGTGGCACGCCTCGAGTGCGCAGGCTGGACCTCGGGAAGGAGTGCGCACGGATCCGTAGCCTTTCTGGAAGTTGTTCCTCTTGGCACTTTCTAAAGTCGTAAACGGACAGAGAAGATACCTGCTTACAGTGCTTTGAAGATGCATTGCTGGAAACGGTTAGTCCCCCCTGAAGATGAGATAATTGGAACAAAAAGGAGGGGGAGTGCCACTGACGACACAACTCCCACAGTTGTCGCTCGGAACGTGCAAGAAATTCTGCTTGGGAGGGGGAATCCACTGGATTTCCCAGCTGGGCTCCCCGGACGACAGCTGGCTTTCTCTCTGCCCTGAGTCCAGCTTGAGCCCAGACTTTGCCGGGCTGCCCAACAGGAAGTAGGCTCAGGCAGAAGATCACACACGTCTGGCTCGCAGGCTTCGTGTGCTTCGCACAGTGAATCATGCCACCTGCGTATTTTGTGCCAAGAATTACACACTTTGCGCTGAGAGACTGCTAGAATCCCTGGGCGTTTGTGGATTTGGTCTCAGCTTAGCTTTCCTTGTGCACGTGGGAAGGAAGTCTAGCAAGCGCAAGGCAGCCCGGCTCATGCTTGGTCTTTGCACTGCTGGTTGTTGCTGACATCTTGTGGAAGGTTCACACACACTGTTGGCATCCAGAGCCACTGTACAGATGGTACTGTGTGCTCCAGATGGGAATGGAAGCTGCAGTGAAGGCAGGGAGGGGCCAGCATGATGCCAACTATCGACTTACTGGGAGGATTAGAAACATAAAAACTGAGCAAGTCAGAAGGGTCCTCCCAGGCCATCTAGCCTGACCCCCGGCTCCAGCTGGCTCCGCTCATGTCTTGCCTACCACGTGCAATTTTCAGCTTGCTTTCATTGCATTCCTTTCATGCTGTTCCCCCAGAGAGCCTGGACATGGGCCCATGCCATGCCTCCCCAACCATCTTGTCCCCACAACAACCCTGCGAGGTAGGTTAGTCTCAGAGCAGGCCACTAGCAAGAGGCAGGGGTCTGGACTCGGGCTGTGTGTCTGTGGCTGGAATGTGCAAAGGAGGAGAGGGACATGCTGTTACTGTACAATCAACAGTTACCCAACCACCCACAGGCAGAACTTCCCTCGTAAAATCTTTTTACAATCTCCCCTCCTTAAAAAAACCCCTTTGCAGCAGCCTTGCCCAGTCTCAGGCGCTCCACTTGCGCTGAATCCAGCCTCCAACTGGATTTTCCCGCAGTGACTTTTCTTACGGAGCATCCCTCTCACTTTTACTTGCGGGAGAACAGAATTTGGGTTCGATGTTGACGGATGAGAACGTAATGGCGCAGCCGTGCCCGCCCTAGAGCGGATATTATTAGCTCTGCACTGGCAGCCAGTCCGTTGGGTGCCCTGTCACCTTAATGTTTTCGTCATTCTGTTGCCTTCATGGGTGTTTCCAGGCGCTGTTAATAAACTTCAAAAACATCTAAAAGCGTGAGGTTAGTATACGTTTCACTGCTGCCTCACCCCTCCTTTGCGCTCCACTCCAGCCATGCCCCTTTTGCTCAAGTTAAAAAATAGTTTCTTAGAAATTACAACCAGCTGCAGCACAGCCACTGAACTTTCCCCTCTGCTTTAAATAACAGCAGCACATTCTCGTCCTTTTATTGGCATTTCTTGGAAGTAAAAACACACGTTGGAGCCTCCCCTTTCCCATCTTTCTTTCCTGTATTTCCTGGGCCGATTTGGAGGTTTCTTCCAAAATAATCACCCTCTTGCAACCACTGGCTGTAATTTTCCTTTCTCTGCCATTTTTGGTATTTTCTCCTCGCACTGTGCCTTATCTGTCTTCCGAAGGTGAATTATTTCCTTTTAAAAAGAAAAAAAAAGATTACAAATCCATGTTGCACTCGGGACAGCAGCTGGTATTTTTCCCCAGTTTTGCTGAGCGGTTTGGGGGTGGGGACTGGGCCTGGCCTTTGTGAAGGGGCAGGAGACGGAGGCACCGGGAAAGGAGGACAGGAGCAGAAGGGTGCTGAGAATGACATGGGCGAGGAAGGGAGCAGGCGAGAAAACCTTGAGGAAAGGTGCTGGCAGGCGGCTGGTCTCTCACGGCTTTTGCTCTGATCCCGCAAAACATTTTTCAGGGTTGCCCTGGCCTGGACCCAAGAGGCACCTTTTGGCTCCATTTCTTCTCCGTCCCCAGCAGCCTCATGGGGAAACCTGCTTGCTTGTGGGATCAGCATAAAAGTGCCCTTCTTTTTGCCTCCGGTTGGGTCACGGATCTTTGGAAAGCTCGCAGAAAATGGGGGTTGCTCTCCCCACTCTTTCTAACCAAAGTGGTCAGGGGCCAAGCAATGCGCTCGCCTCCGCTTGGCCTTCTCTGCCCTCCCTTATTCTTGCTCATTCTCCCCCTGTTCCCTTTCCCTCCTCTTAATCCCTTTCTTCCTCTGCCTCCCTTTCTCTCTTCCGCTCATCCTTCCCTTTTTCTCCCTGCCGGTCTGCCTGCCTCCCGTCTTCTTCCTCCCCCTCTCTCCCATCCGTCCGTCCGTCCTTCCGTCCCTCTCTGCCTCCCTTCTTGCTTCTCGCCATGCCAGCGATTGTGACGTGGGAAGGCTGGGCATTCTCTTCATTTCCAGATTGCTGCAGCGAATGGAGGGGTGCATCCCTCGGACTTTGGAAAGAGTGTTTCCAAAACAGGCAGCGGAGGCTTGGCTCCCACCTCCTCCGAGGCCACTTTCCCGCGTAGCAAAAAACGTGTGAAGCCTTGAATCGATGGAGACGAGGAGGATGCGCCATCCCAGGGAGCGGTTTGGTGCTGGCGTGCCTGCTTTCGCTTTTTAAACCCTTTCGCTCAAGCTTCATCGGGGAGTCTGGCAAGCTCGGCTCTTCATAGAGAAGCAGAATGGATTTGGAATTAAAGGAGCTTAGCTGCGTTCGTGGCTAATGCGCTGCCTTCTGACTTTTTCCCGGCCGCGGCTCTCGGCGCTTGCGTCGCATCACGGAGCGCTTCTCGTGCGCCTCACCGCGATCTGTGCAACGGCCTTGCAGTGTGGGTCAGTGCCCAGGGCTTGAGACTGTGGGCAGCGGCTCACCTGCATGGGGGGCACTCGCGAAGCCAGGAGGAGGCTCCCCACTCCCTGGGGGCTTCCTGTGTCAGTGCACGGTTTCGTTTCGGGGCAGAGGATGGGCGTCTTTTCCTCATTCCACATCGGCTGATTCAGTCCCTTAGCTATTTCCTGACCCACCTCCCCGTCTGGCAGGCAAAGAGGGTGAGGATCGTTCATTTGTTCTCAAATGAAGTGCATACACCGAGGTGCATTAAACAGAAAGAGGCCATGTGCCTTAAATTATTTTTAAAATCTTTTTTATCTTGCTTTTTCCTTGTATTTTATTTATGGTGGGGGGGGGGTCCCCAGCAGGGAACCCCAGGTGTCTTAATTTGCTTCCTCTTTGTTTGAGCTTCACCACAACCCTGTGAGGTGGGCTAAGCCAAGAGCGTGTGACTGGCCCTAAGTTATTCATTGAGATTCATGGCTGAGTGAAGACTAGAACCTGAATCTCTCAAGTCCCAGACCAACAGTCTAACTACTACGCCATACTGGGCTCTCTATTAAACTTGTATATTTGCCTTTCCTCTACAGATTATTTATTCATCCAATTGACATTCCACATTAAATTTGTCCCAGGACTCTCTAAGTGGAGGGTGGCTCAGGGGGGCTAAAAAAACACCAATGAAATAACCAAGAGATAAGAAAAACATTAAAACGTATCCAGTGAAAGCAAATGCCCTGCTGTCTTTCTCACCTGGAGGATCACAAGGGGCAGCTCCCCTGCACGTTTCCTGAGTTCACTGGGGGATCAATAAGATGCAACGGTGATAATTCACCGTGCACCAAACCAGGCCACCAGTGACTCCCCTCCAGTGCTTTCGTGGTGCTCCAGTCAGCGCTTGGACACAAGTCCTGGGAACTGCCATTTCAATTTCCCACAATGCCTTTCAGTGGGACTACTTGGGTGGAATTGTGGGATATTTAAAGGTGCAGTTTCCAGTCTCCCGTCACTCCTTTCGCCCTGAAGTAGCTCGCCAGAACCCACAGGTCTAGGGCTGAGCTAATGAGGACTCTTCAGGGGGCTCCTCAAATCTAACACTCCCATTTCAGACCCCCTCAGGAATGACTTGGTTCCCTGAAATTGAATGGCCTCTCCAGCAACATGACCAAATACCTGAAGCAGAGGTGCAGAGCTGGTTTAGACTGCCAGGTCTTCTGCAGGCCAGATCGTGCGCCCAGCAGTGTCACCACCCCAGCTGTCAGGAGCCGTCAGGATCCGTGCCTCTCCCGCCAGGGAGGACTCGTCACGAAGCTTGCAAAGGAAGGCTTGGCCAGTGCCGGAAGGAGCAGCTTCTTCCCTGCCACCAGCAGCCAAGTCCTATTCAGCCCATGTCCCTGCTGTTAACTCCAGGGGATCCTCCAGGCGGCCTGGCCTCCAGGGAATCCCCAGGTGGCCATGCAGGCAGGTTACGGAGCCTCCGTGGGCCAGGTGAGTTCCGTATCTCTGCTTTCAAGGCTGCGTGTCTCTTCCCCACACCAGCAGTCTTTCCATCAGGAAGGACATCTTCAGCGGGCACAGTCCTCTGAAGGCGGCTAAATCTTCCTTCATCCCATGTCGGCCATCCCAAATCGACAAATACACGCAGCATTTAGTTTAGGACTGCAGGGAACGCCGCGTCTTAACAATCAGATCTTTGGTACAAGCTGTTCTTTCCCACTGCGAAAATATTGGTCCGCAGTGCGTACATATCACAGTTCTTTCTTGGTTGCAAGCCCAGCACAGGCATTGGGCTGGCACACTCCGGGCTCAGACGGAGCAGGGATGCCCATACAAACGCTCCGCCCCATCCCCCGACGTGTGGGGTCGCCTGAGGATCATCAATCGGACCAAAAGCCAGCATTGGGTTCACACACTGCCCAATCCCCCTCTGGTTTCCCAAGGGGTGGCATCCAGAGCCGACTGAGAACAAAGCTCCCCAAGGCATTTCTCGCCCTGCCTTCCCAGTTCTGCAAAGCTTCTGTGCAGGATCGGCCAGGCTTTGCCAGACCACCTTGCGCCGCTCACAAAAGGGTTTAGAAGAGCCCATGTGCACCTGGAGCTGTCGGACACAGGGTGTGCATGAGCACATGTGTACATAGGAACACGTGTACATGTGAATGCATTCGTCATTTAGAAAGAATCCTTGCCACAAAGAGGAGTAGATGGCAAAAACGCTGGTTTTTGGCTAGTTTTCTTCCTGGCATGCTAATTTTCTATGTGAAGGGCTTTTTTTAATTGAGGAGCATTTGTCAGGGAGATGGTAAAGCCTCTTACTTCTAGTCCTTGCCTTCTGCAGAAAGCTCTGGAAAGGTTGCCGAGGGTCACACATTTCACAAACAGGAAACTGGAGAGGAGCGCTTTGAATAGACTTTCGGATTCCCAGGCACTCGAATCAATCTCTCTCAGCACCAAAAGAACTGGATTCGATGCGCCCGCTGCTCCAGCCAGGTTGCCAAACGGTTCTGCAGAAAGGTTTTGAGGAAGTTGGTGTGCTCTGAATGTGAACTCTGAGTAGCTCAGAACTTGTGGCAACTTTGCACACGCCTCCAAAAGGGCATTGTAAAAACTCAGCATTCTGCAGTGGAATTGCTGCAGTGGTATTGGATGACATGTTGTGGCACATGGGAAAAGGAGTGGGCGGCAGGGAGCACCCTGCCACATGAAGTCTCAAGTTCGGTAGCTGTGGTGTGGGGGGTCAGGCAGAGGGAACAGTTGGCAGGACATTATCTCAGCGTGTGATCAACTCAAGTTGCGGCAACCCAGATTCAGGCTGGGCATCAGGAAGAGCTTCCTCACCATCAGAGCAATAGGACAGTGAAACCAGCTGCCTGGAGAGGTGGGGGGCTCTCCCACACTGGAGGCATTAAAAAAGAACTGGACAGCCCTCTGAGTGGGATGGTGTGACTTGGTGTCCTGCAACAGCGGGGCGGGGGGGGTGGACTTGATGGCCTTCATGGCCCCTTTCTACTTTTCTGTGATTCCATGACTTTGTGTCTGCAGAAACATCCACTCACATAATGCTGGGTTTTTAAAATAACTGTGTTGTTATAAAGTATGAAGCCTGGCAAGAGGGTTGTTGAAGTTCTTGCTGAGAGACTGGTGCTGGCTGGGGAATGCTTGGGAGTTCAGTCCAGCACATCTAGAAGGCCCCAGGCTGTGGAGGGCTGGTTTAGTCATTTTAGAGAAAGGATCTTTGTTGCTGGCCAAAATGAGTTTGCTGGAGAGGCGCAGTTGTGTGTGTCTGTACTTTTGGCTCTTAGCCTCCGTAATTCATCTTCTGTATCATTCATGCCCTTTACAACTGAGCTGGTGTGGTTTCACATTGCAACTCACTTAATGACAGCAGCACTGCAAGAATAAATGGCAATGGGGTGGTCATGTGGGGGCTTGGACACTGAAGCATCAGTGAGCAGCGGTGCCGGGGCTGATGGTCTTGGCTGGGCAGGAAGTCTTTTAATGGCCGTGCGCGTTACTTCTGTTGTGAAGAACGCAACTGAGATTTCGCATCCCAAACACCACGTTTGACCCCTGCGTCTGAAGTCCTGTAATGTGGCTGCAAGATACTCTGGAAGGCGTTTTGCCAACTGATCTTACAGAAGATGCACGCTGAGTGCATGCGGTTTCTCACTGGAAACTCAAGTCATGACACCATCGTGACTGCATGAGCAAAACAGAATCCAAACACGAAGATGACTTCTGCAGCCACAGCGATAAACACACTGAATTGGGGAATAAGCACCTCTTTGTTGGAGGAAAGGCTCGTGCCTATTTTTAAAAGAATATAATGAGCATTTGTAACCATGGACAAGCCCAAGCGCCCATGCCCTGATTATAAAGTATTCTTAAAACAAGACAGAGGATGCTGTGGGGAAGATGGTCACCTTTGCTGGGCCCCCGTCTGCTTTCTGGGTGCTTCCTGGGGAGGAAGGGTGGCCGAATCCAGCGGTAGTTGCAGGATTACCTGGAAGGGCTGTTGGTCCTTCAGCGGACCTGACAACCTGGGATTCTGTGCTTCACCTCAGCCATAGGTATACAGTAGGCCCCCAGCTATCCGGCCTAGTGTGGCAGAAGGGCAGGCCAGATACCAAAAAAGCCAAATAGACCGGAGTTCTATAAATGCTCACTTCCTGCCCCACCCATACCATTAAAAACACCTTTTTTTTTTAACCAAAACCTGCTGTTATTCATATTTTCTGACCTCTTAGTACAGGTCAGTACTTTGTAAATGTTTGTTATGTACTGTACTGTACGTTTTAAAAATGTATTACAGAAAAAGGAAGTCCAAGGATAAAAATATTGTACACATTTTAAGATAAATTTTATAATGTCTAACTTAATTGCAGGAAACATAAAATCATGTACACTGTACTGTATGAATACATACACTTCTAAAATAAACAACACATTCATGTAAAACGTAGGGTTAATTCTTACAAAAATTATTTAAACTTATTTTACTGTTCATTGATAGTTATTTTTAACTAGGCCGGATCGTACGGAGGCCAGATAGTCATGAGCTGGATAGTCAAGAGTCTGCTGTACATGTAAAAAGTCTTTTTCCGCACTCGGCGCATGCTCCTCTGCCATTCTCAAACCACTTAAAGCGTCTAGTGGGCCAAACTGTTTATACTGCGTCTTCCTGTGAATTTCAGGGTCCTTCGCAGTCATGCCAGGGATTGCAGGCAAATGCATGTCACACGTCCAGAGAAGCTGAACGGTTGCTTCTCCGGACTCCCGTGCGTCCTCATGTTGACAAAATACTTCCTTCCCACTAGCGCTATTCCTGTTCCCTGAATAGTTTTGGAGCATGTTACTGGTCTCTGGAGTGATGACTCACCGCATTGTAATATCCTTCCCATTACTTCAGAAAGGAATCCTCATCTAAGTTTCTGTTTCCAAAATAGTGTTTGGTCACATGTTTTCTCTTTTGTCAGGATGATTAGAATTAGAGAGCTGGAACCAGCCCTGTATTTCAAGGTCTGGGTTGCTGCTTGTCTCCTCCTTTCATTAAGGTTCTTCTTCCTAGGACGCTTCCGTACTGAGGTTTCGGCTGCTGAATTCTTTCACACATTTTTAGCAGGGTTTTTCCATACTCTGTTTTTCTGTATGCTCCATTACACGGACCACAAGATGGTGTTGCAGTCCAGTGGACCAACTTCACTTTGCCATTTCCTAATAATACCACTCTGAAGGATTGAGGCCTTTGAATTGTGGTGCTGGAGGAGACTCCTGCGAGTCCCTTGGACCGCAAGGCGATCAAACCGGTCAGTCCTAGAGGAGATCAACCCTGACTGCTCTTTAGAAGGCCAGATAGTGAAGATGAAACTCAGATACTTTGGCCATCTAATGAGAAGGAAGGACTCCCTGGAGAAGAGCCTGATGCTGGGAACAATGGATGGCAAAAGAAGGAGGGGACGGCAGAGGATGAGGTGGCTGGATGGAGTCACTGGGGCAGTGGGTGTGAGCTTGGGGGGACTCCGGGAGATGGTGGAGGACAGGCAGGCCTGGAGGAGTGTTGTCCATGGGGTCACGATGGGTCGGACATAGCTTCGCGACTAACAACAACAACAACAAATAATATTGCACTTTCTCAATCTTGAAAATAGCTGCAGAAATGATTGCAAAGAATAGGAGAGGCCCTGGAGACAGGTGACGTTAGGTAGAGCGCCTCCAAACTTTCATGAGCGAGGAATTGTGAGTGCACAGTAAAGGAATGGGTGGAATTCACAATGAGCACCTTGTGGGGCTGGTAGAAACAAAGTCCCGGCCACCATGTCCCCATGGGGGTCGACAGATCACCACTGCCCTGTCTTTGGTCACCACACTCCCCTGGAGCCCTCACTGGGCCCCGATTCTCTAAGTTGACCAAGGTGGGTGCCATCAAAAGTCACTTCCCTGTGATCAGGACTCCATATGGAACAAGTTCCAAGGTTGCAGCTCCACCCGAAGGCTCACACCAGTCACACAACTACACCACTGGGCTGCTGTTAACACCCGTACGTGTTACAGATGTGGCAGGGCCGGTCTAGCTGGTGTGTGGAGCAGTCCTCCATGCAAGAATACCGTGCATGGGTCATATATTATTTCAAAGGACTGCCCACCTTTCACAGTGGCATCCTTTTCGTGCAAAATAAGCCCCAGGGGAGGGGTGGCCGTTTGAGAAGTATGCAGGCAAGCTGGGAAGGGTTCTGAGGAGGCAACAAGGGTGATCCGGGGACTGGAGACAAAGCCCTGTGAGGACAGCTCGGAAGAACTGGGCGTGTTTAGCCTCGAGCAGAAGACTGAGGGGAGACAGGAAAGCACGCTAAAGTACCTAAAGACTCTCACAAAGAGGAAGGACAGGAGTTCTTCTTGTTCATTCCCGAGTGCAGGACACGGAATAACAAGCTCACGTTACGGGAAGCCAGATCGTGGCTAAGTATCGGACAGAATTTCCTGTTAGAGCAGTGCAAGAATGGAGCCAGTGACTGGTTGTGGGCTCTCCCACACTGGAAGTGTTCAAGAAGCAACTGGGCTGCCGTCTGGTTGAACTGGGAGTCTTGCACTGAGCAGGGGTTGGACCCAGTGGCCCTCTGGCCCCTTCCAGCTCTTCCACTCTGTGATTCGGTGGGTCACATGCAGGCTAGCATCCTTTTTCTCTCATGTGGGAGCCACCCTGCTTACTTGGAGAAGGGGAACAAAGGGGGCCTGGGGCTTAAAACCCACCCAAAGGCCGCTGGGCAGGCAGAGCCATGTGAAAGCTGTAAAGTTCCGCTTTTATGGTGCTTGTAATTTTCCTCTGGGACTGCCACATGGTTCATGGAAATCTCCTCCTCCGCGCCTTCTCCTCCCCTTTGTGAGCCGAACAATAATAACCGTAGGAAAACCACGCCTGGAAACAAATCAGAACAAATGAGAGAGATCAGCTCGGAGCTTTGGCGGTCCTGGAGGGGAGCCAGCACTGGCTGGGCTGTGAAAACTTTAGGAGGGGAATTGTACCGAAGGAGGTGCTGCTGCTTGGAACTGCCAAACGAACATTACTCATTCTAGGTGGAAGCCACTTAAAAAGGGAGCTATTTAAGAACAACTCGGTCCGTTCTGCATTTTTGGTGCGGATGTCTTTTGCTGTTATCCCAATGCCACATAGCATGTAAGTGCAGTCACAGCCATGGTTTCTAGCATCTGTTTCTTTCTTGTTTATACATTCTTCTCTCTTTGTCTATTTGCATATACATCTAGGAAGGAAAACATCAAATTAAGCTGATAGGTGTGTTGCAAAGCCCTCCCCCCGCACCCCCTGCGCTTAATTTCTTTCTCTGGTGGGTTTTTCTGGGTTCTGGAGTTGGGCCTGCTTGAAGTGGGAGGGTTTGGCCAGCTGTGTTGAGTTCTGCACTCTGCCCTCCCTCTTCCCTCCTTGCAAGGTGGGGATGTGGAAGTGAGGAGGGCAGCTTGCCAGTGGTAACCTTCTGGCAACATCATGCCGGCAGGAGCTGCCTCGTCTGGGAAGGCGCTTCCAGGCAGGGGGCGTTTTTCACTAGGGTGGGATACCATTGCATGGCCGTCCTGCCATCCCTCCCCCCGCCCTAGCTTAGCTGCCTGGGGTCTCCAGTGGGGAACGGCCCTTCTCCTCAGCTGCCACCCCTTCCTTGCACTGATGATGCCAGGGGTGGACCCCTGTCTGGAAGGCGCGTGCTCAGCAGTGGCTTGGGGGTAAGCGAGATTGGAACCAGGGACTTCCTGCTTCGCAGCTCAGCCCTTCCGCACTTGCTAGGTCTTGTCCGTAGCAGGCAGGTTCAACCAGCAGGTAGTTCTCCCTCCACCCTCCCAGTCACCCCCCTGGGATCCATGCGTAGAAGCATCCCCCCCCCCCCCCCCCCGCACTGGAGCCCATAACCAGAGGCAAGCTGTGTTGCGTATCCCAGTTGCCCTGCACAGCTAGGTAAAGAGTTAATGATTCTGCACAGCAGAGAGAACCTCGCAGGCGGCCGCCTCGAAATGCAGCTGTTGTGCTTCAAGGTGGGCTTGGCCCTTCCCGGTTGCTCCCATTAGCCATGGCCAGATTTCGGTTTTGCTGAGCTGTCTGCATCCCTCTGGTTGATTCCCTTGTTTTGGTCGCTGCATATTCGCTTTTCTATGTTTGGGATCCTTTTGAGCCTCATATTGTGCCTGTTCCTTACAAGGATACTCTAGATGAGCCGAGGATGTCCTGGTTCCAGAGCAGGCATGCAGTGTTTCTGGAAGTACTTCCGAATTCTTACCCCCTCGTTTTCCCTTTGTCTTCCCGGCAGACCATCCATGAGCTCCGACTTCCAACATTACAGTTTCAGGATGCCAAACATTGGATTCCAGAACCTGCCTCTCAACATATACATCGTGGTCTTCGGCACTGCAATTTTCGTCTTCATCCTCAGTTTACTCTTCTGCTGCTACCTGATCAGGTAAACAAGCCACGCCTCTTGTGAGCCCGGTTCCTCTTCTCCCAGTCATGTGGCATGGATTCAAACAGCTGCTCTGGTTTTTTCTGCAAGTTGGTGCTTGCAGTCACTTTGTGCTCGGTTTTCTGCATGTGTTCTGGACTTGCAGGCGAATGATGCATGCCTCGGATCCATGGGCAGCCCCAGTCCATGAGTGCCCCGCACCCGCCCCTCAGTGTGTTGGCCAGACAGTGCTAGAAAGAGATGGACCCTTGGCCAAATCCAGCAGGGAATAATCTTAGATACTCTACTGGTTCGGAGCAGGGGATGTAAGGAGACAGGGTGTTTAAGGCTCTGAGTGTTGAGACCGGCCTTCCCCAACCTGGAGCCTGCCGGGGGTTTTGGACTACAATTGCCAGCATGCTGGCTGGGGCTGATGGATGTTGAAGCCCACACCTTCCAGACAGCACCTAGTGGGGAAAAGCCAGGGTACCCAGGTGTACGTTAAAAATGAGCTGCTCTCCTCTGGAAAGCAGACCCAGCTGCAGGTGGTCATTGCAAGCCATCTTCTCTTGGGAATCAACATCACGAGATCCCAGGTTCCACACGCGCAGAGCAGAAGGGGCTATGCTGACGGCCCGTGACTGCCCCAGGCACCAGGTCCAGGAGGCAGACGTTCAGCTCTAGAAGACCTGTCGGTTTGGCAATGCAAGCAGAGAAACAGCTCAGCATCGTGTGTTGGCTGCGCCACTGCATATATGCAGGGTGAGCCCTGGGTTTTGAGGACCCTGCAACACATCTCCCAGACGCTCGGGATCTGGCACCGGGCTAGCCTAGCAGTGTGCTTCTCCTCGGATTGTGAAGTTGTCCTGCCTTTTGTCTGGGAGGAAACAGAAGCTGATTTTTCTCTCCTGGCACTTTGCCCTAAGATCTCCTCCTGCAGATCCGGAAGGGCTTTTGCTCAACGGTGGCCCGCTCCGTTTCAGGTGCACCAGCATCTGCAGTTGGTGTCTGGTGATGGGAAAGAACCAGCCAGTAGCCCTGGAAAGCTGCTGTCCATCAGGGCAGGCAAAACCGGGTTAGATGACCCAGTGATTCATGGAGAGACAAGGGAGAGATCTGTTTGGTTCCCCAGTAGATTCAAACTTACCTGATTTGCACTTTTGACCCAATAAGTGAGCTAAAGCAAAGCTCTTCCTTGACATACACATTTCTCTTTTTTCTCAATTCAGTTTTTCAGTCAAATCTGGGCACAAATATTTGTGCAGCAGGGGAAAGTGCACACACAAAATGCATGCATGAGTGAAAAAACATTAATAGTACATTTTATTAGGAAAAGTGTTTGCAAAAACATGTATAAATACATATATTTCAGGACCTGCAGTTGCCCCCATGGGCAAGTGTCTCAGTGACGTGGCAAGCTGAAGTTCTGTGCTCCTCAAATAGCATGGCCCTCAGGCAAAATTCTGAGCATGTTTCAGTAGGAATTTTTATTTATTTATATATTAAAACATTTTTAATTTGCAGCCTTCCTCAGTTGAAACCTCTCCAGATGTGCTGGACTACAACTCCTGGCTGGCTGGGAAATGCTAGGAGTTGTAGTCCAACATGTCCATAGATCATCTGGTTGGGGAAGATGGGTCCAGTACACCTCTAAGCCAAGAATGCCAGCCCTGGGAACAGATAGCCTGCTATGTTCGGTTTAAAACAAGGGTGTGGAACCTGTAATTGTCCACAGTCCAAATTCAGTTTTGGAGCAGCCCTCAGAGGACCTTTCTCTGGTGGGCAGGCCAAAGAGAACGAAAGTGGGATGAAAACATCTTCCTGTTTGACCTTACGGTTTTTTCCATCCAGGAATTGAGATTTAGGAGTGCCATCTCAGATATTTGGAATGGAGAATAACCTTCTGCCGACCATCAAATGATCGGGGGGGGGGGGGCACCAGGAGATGGGCGTGTGACTCGCCTGGAAACCCTGGAGGACTCGGTTGGCTTCCCAGACAGGCAGGATTCACTTGGCCCCCTGGAGGTTCTGCCTCCTTTATTGCAAAACAAAACACCCTGAAAATGCTGGGTTATATTTTGAAACAGGGCAGGCATAGAGGGAGCATTTTATGCTTGGAGAAGCATCTGTCTGTTTTCACTCATTCACTAGTACTCCAAATCCCATCAGGCTTTTAACATATTCAGCAAAGGTGTTCTCATCTTGTGCAGCCAGAGGTGTACCCCCAGCTGCATTGCCTTCGCTTGGCGTTTTGATCCCTGGTCTTTATTCTGCTTGACACTTGAGAAACTTTCAAATCTTCCCCTCTTTTCAAAGCAGGGTGATTCATCTGGTCGCCTATTAGATGCTGTCTTAATTGTTTTTCAAGATGGCTTCTAGCCAGAAGTAGCCACAGTAATGCTTTGAAGTTCCGAGGGATTTTGCATCGTTTGTTTGCAGAAATACTTCTGTGGAACCGTTGCTGGTTATTTAGTGACCTGGCGATTGTTTTTCCAGTGCATGGCTCTTTTCTCTCCATGGCTTTCTCTGTATAACTTCTTTAGAAGTGTATCTCCCCATTCACACATGACTTGGGCAAGTGGAGTTTAAATGGGGTAGTAGGTGGAAACAAATGTTCTGCCTTGCACTCTCCAAAGCAGGGTCCCCCAACCATTTTGGGTCAGTGGGCACATCTGGAATTGTGGGAGACTGTTGTGGGCAGCCTCACAAAATGGCTGCCGTGGTGGGCACGGCCAGTCATACGATACTCATTTCCCAGAAGGACAATGGGGAGACTGAAAGAAAAGTAATGTTCTTGGTTAAAAATCAAAGGCAGGATCTGAGCTTCAACATGGGGACTGCACCTGAATCCCCAGCTGGAAGGCCTCCATCCCTCCATTCATCTCTCTCTTTCTAAGGAATCATTTGCATGCTTTGTGCTTGAGGAACGGTTGACACGTTCCCCCAGCAGCCCCTCGGGGCCTTCCCCTAGGAGCATTGCTCACAGAGCAGCACAGTTTAGAAGTTAATGAAATGGTCTTGACTTGTTAATCTGTCCAAAGCGGAGGAAAGACAGCCCTTGGCGAGAGCGTGGAGGCCAACGGGATCGGTGTGGGACCTCTGCGAGAGACACTGGGGAGGGCTGCTTTAAGATCCTCTTCGGGGCAGAGGAATCCTGTGGTTTCCATTCAGCTCTCTGCGTTCTTGCTCCTGTTGGCACTTCGGGGACAAAGGCCCGTATTGTGCACACTCCGGTTTATTGGCCGCGGTTGTGAGCCACTTCATGCAGTGCCCTGCTTTGAAAGAGGACTCCTGAAAGAAGCTTTCTTTCAGCCGTGTCTGCACGTCTGTCAAAGCGAAAGCACATTTGGAAGAGACATGCCGTGATATTTTGCGCTGGGGTGGACCGTTCTGGTGTCAAGTCAGCTGAAATGGAAACATGGCCCGTTCTTCTCCCATCTGATGCCCTCCGTATCTGTTTGACAATAGCTTCCACAGTAGCTGGCGATTCTGGAATTTGTATCCCAACGACTCCAGGGGATGTTAGATTCAGGACAGCTGTTCCGCAACACACGTTTCCATTTTTCCTAGAAACCTGGAGCATTTCTCCCCAGCCTAGATTAGAACCACCGGCACACTGCCCTTCAGCTTATTGAATGAAACCCTTGTGTGTAACGCCCACGACCAGCCCCACAGCTGCCCCCGCTGCCTGCCCTAGAGCGCCTGCCCAGGAATCGGCAAAGAAGGTGACAAAACGGAGAGGGCTTTGCATAAATTGCAGATGGTCATTTCTACATAGTACTGCAGATTTTGAAATATCTGCACTGTTTAAATAGTAATACAGTGCGTCTCACCAGCAGGCATAAGACTGCCTAGATGTGACCTATCCGTGTGCTAATTGTGGGTAAGCAATTACACTTAATGGTTCTTCACCTCTGAACCGGAATTGGAAAGGACAGCCCTCGAAATAAAAGGTGCCTTCAAACAGAGGACCATCCTCTGTGGAAGGGGACACATGACCACCCAGCTGCCTCCAGTTATCACGCCCTCTCCCTGCACGTGCTCGCAAGACCGTCGCAGGAGCATTTGCTGAACAGTGGCAGGAGATGAAGCTAGGCTAGGTAGGCCTCTGGCCAGGTGCAGCTGGGTTTCCGACGCTCTGCGGTGGCTTGGGAACCGCTGCTGCAAAGCGGGACTACCTTGTTCGTGCCAGTATGTTTGGATCGTCCTCCAACGCACCTGTACTCAGAAGTCAAGACCGTTGAATAGACGCCTAGAGACCCTTTCACAATCGCAGGCAGGAAAGAACTGCAGCTACTGCTGCCAAGAATGGAAAGTGCTTTAAAAAGGAATGATTACAGGGAAATGGCACCATGAGGTGACCATTCCCAGTTGCTCCATGGCCATTTGTTTATATAAATGAAAGCTCCCTTAACAGTGAGAAGCATTAAAAAAAATGTGTTGGAGCATTAAGCATTGTTGCTGCTTTCCTTAATTTTATTATTTATACACTTTGAACTGGATGCTTCCCATAAATATAATATCATAAATATAATAATATAACTAAAATGGGTAAAATAATAATGTAAAATATGGTGTGAATTTTGCAATGGCCATTTCAAAGCAGGTTTTAGGGAAAGTTCGGCTGTCAGATCACCAGTGGAAGGGGAATTCCACGGTTTGGAACAGCTGCTGAAATCTACGTGCGGTGCAGCAGGGCTATGGCACATGGGAACTAGAAGTGGCGGGTTTTTAATGAGTTTTCCTATTTATATGAATGCTTTTATGATGGTGTTTCTTTAAACTGCTCTAACCTCGCCTGACTGATGTCACGGTCATTGAAGTTTTAATAGTTTGGTAGGTTATACACCCTTTGGAGTGAGCGCTTGGTATTTATTAATTAGAGTGCGTTGTACCCTGAATCAGAATGAGTTACGCATTAAATCTACGGAAGGAAAGAAGGGTGGAGAAAACCACGGTTGCAGTACAAAGGATCTGCAACACAGTAGGCATTCAAACAATGGGGAAATTAATGTTTTCTC